TATGCTAAACACTCCCCTCACTTTAGTTATGCTAAACACTCCCCTCATTTTAGTTATGCTAGGTGCACCTGCCTGTCCAGAGAGGCCCCAAAGGCAGCCCTGTACACACCCAAGAACCTGCTGGTGATTATAGGACCTAGGAGCCTTCCCATTGGTGACATTTACTTCACCTTTCTTTTCTTGTCCTTTCCATGTCACCTGCTAGTGATAGAGATGGCTGCCACTGACAGAAATACTGAAAGCCTGGCCCTCCTATCTTTCTCCTCTGCCCATTCATTCTTTGTGAGATATTCCTGAGTAGATTGGTCAAGAAGAGGCAAATCCAATAATAGCAACATTGAAAAGAACACACTGGCCCAAGGACTCAGTTCAATATATGTACAACTTGGCCTTAGACTTTTAATGATGTGAAACTTTGCTGCTAATACTATTGATAAAGTTATTTAAAAAGTTGTTTTTCTGTTAATTCTATTTGACACGTAGGCCAAAAAAGCTGACTCTAAAAGGTTACAAGCAATACTGGTGCACCTTTAAAGATACATCTATTTCTTGCTATAAGAGCAAAGAAGAATCCAGCGGCACACCAGTTCATCAGATGAACCTAAGAGGTAAGGAAAGCCTTGGAATGACCAGTGTTGATGGAGAAATTTCTCTTGGCTAATAGTCAAAAATCTTTCACTTTGCTGGTGGGGGGGGTAGTTTTTCAGCAGATTCATTACTCCTTTGGGTACTGTTTTAGGTCTGGATTCTTCTTTTTTTTGGTATGTTTTTGTCACAGTTTTGAATATTCAATTTCACACGGATATTTTGTTGTAATCTCTTTGTGCAGTCCTCATTTGAAGTGATACCACTTTTCTTCTTGTCAAGTAAATTTATGGTACCTCTTTTCTCATCTTCAGCATTGGGATATTCAGGTTTTCTTCATTCTCATCCGTGTTGTAGTTCTCTCCTCTGTTTTTGCTGGCTTCTCCTTTATCAGCATCCTGCTCCTCTTTCTGACTTTCACTGATGACAAGCTGATCCCTCTCAGGTTCCCCAGCCTCTTTTTTGGCTCAGCAGCGGGGTGGGTAGCAGGCACTTGTGGGGTTTGACCAAGTTCTTTCTCTTCCCCAGTAACTCTTCCTGCACATTTTTGTTCAACACTCAGCTCTTGGTCTGGCCTCTGGGGTAGCCCCAGGGTACTCCTCTGAGGCTCCTCCTAGCTGACAACCTGAATCTCATTGGCTTCCTCTTGTCTCTTCAAATCTAGAGCTGTCCCTAGGGGCTGGTATTTGAGGCACATGTCATTGGACACATTTCCACTCCCTTGTGGTAAGTGTGCTTCCTGTGGCCTGGGCTGATGGGGCTGGGGGCTCAGAGCTACTACTGGCTTTGGCCTTCTCCCCCCACCCCATTTCATTTGCCATTTGGGTGACTTCTTTGGTTCTTCATACTGCTCCTTCACCTCCTTTATCTGATTGATGCAGTGGTTCAGGTAGAAGGAGAATTTCCTGTCCAGGTTGGTCTGGTTCTTCTGCAGCTAGAGGAAATCTTCTCCTTCCTGCTGTGATTTTTTTACAGGGTCTTGCAGATTGTTGATGAGCCCTTCACTTGTGGGCATATTTACTAAAAGCACCTGGCTCACTTGCAGTGAGAACTGCACTCACCACATCCTTGGCACCAGTGTGCTTGATGCAGGATGCAGTAGATTGGCATCTCACCATTCCATACTCTTTACAACAAAGGCCAGAAAACTAAAATACATTTTCTGGACTTGTTTCCAGTGAGGTTTTGATTCCAATCAGATGCATTCATGTTGAGACTTGAATTCCTGGTGTCCTAGCCTCTTGGTGGTAGCACTTGCCTTTGGCAGACCAGTTGTGAGGGTGGTGTTCAGGGAGTTAATTCCTATTGGCCCAGCCCATTAACCCTTTTACATTTTGCATGTACATTTATGATTATATGTAAAGCAATATGGCTTTCTAACTAAAAATATCCATATTTGAACAAAAGTACCCAAGAAGGGGGCCCCTGACTCATTCACAAAAACGATTCCCAAAACAGTTTCATTTACTGCTTAAAATACAGAGGTGCTTTCCTTGATCTATAGTCTTAATTTTCCTTTCTACATAGTACATTAAGATATTTTTACTATATTTCAACAAAATGTCCAAATCTGTGTTCTGCCCAGTAATCCTGTGAATTGTTGTTTTAAAAAATAGGAAATCCCTGTCCTGGGTAGAAGATTGATGTGCCCATGTGTTAGAATTCTGTAATTTTCCTAAAAGTTAATTAGGCTCACTGCCTTTCTCTTATAAGAATCATGGGTTTAAATCATGGGTCTCTCATTATTTGTTACTCTTAGAATCCATTGCAGCTTTGTTCTTGCTTCTCTTCTAGGTTGCCCAGGACCAGCCCAGAATACCCACTCTTGATATATAGACTAGATCTGTCTTCTCTGTCCCCCCCTATTCCATCCTTAACCTTTTTTTTTTTTAAGATTTTATTTATTTGACAGAGAAAGAGAACACAAGTAGGCAGAGAGAGAGGGAGAAGCAGGCTTCCCGCTAAGCAGGGTGCCCAGTGCGGGGCTTGATTCGAGGACCCTGGGATCATGACCTGAGCTGAGAGCAGATGCCCAACCGACTGAACCACCCAGGCGCCCCCATCCTTAACATTCTCCCTTTGTGACTGAGAAGTCAAGTCCTGGTATGGAGAATGGCTTACGATGTGCCACCTCTTCTGGGTCCTCCCAAAAGAGCACTTTTCCAGCACATCACACTAACAAAGATACCACCAGTCTAAAAATCAAATGGCATAGATTCTGTTCTGCTATTAAGCCCTGTGATTTTAGAAAAATAGCCTCTTTGGCTTTCAATAACTTCCTCTAAGAAATGAGAGTTTTAGACTAGATGCTCTCCCAAGGCCTTTGGACATCTAAAATGCAAGGTGTAAAAAATTCAGTTAAGCAAATACTGAGTGAATTCCTGTGCCGTAAACTGTGCTAGATACTAGACACATGAGAAAGAACAGATGACAGTCCCACCCCTTGAGGGGTTTAGAGCATATTGGGGAGATAAACAGTTACAATTTGGACAATAGTACTTTAAAAAGTAAGTAACAGATCTAAGGAAGAGCAAAGGGGTAAGGGTGCTTGCTACATCAGTGTTCAGTGACAATGGAGAGAATTAGGGTAGACTTTGTGGGGGAAATAATGCCAGAGTTAGATCCAAGGTCTAATTCGAGGTCCATGGAAGGAAGGTGAGTTGGTAAAAGCTGTCCAGGCAGAGACTGGTGTGGAGAAAAGCATCAGCAACCACAGGGAGTCTGTGCTGCTGGAATGTAGAGTCCAAGGGGGAGGATGAATACTTCCGTAGTGGCTGTTGAGTCTGATTCCTACTAAGATGAGTGATAATAGCAGAAGAAATTGGCAGGAATTAAGAGGATAAAAATGGTGAGATTGTTTTTTAAACTGGCAGCAGTGACGTGCCATTGAAAGATTATTAACATGAAAACGAAAGGATCCATCCTATTTATATTGGCTACGGTATAGAGGAGTAATTTAGAGCGGTGACTGTGATCCAGATTAAGGTGATCAATATGGAGGGGGAAGAGGGTGCCAATTCAGAGGACCCTCAGGAAGCCCAGTCAGCCGCCTGGGTGATTGACTTGGGAGAGGCCAATGGGGAGTGACTTATTTCTGGCTTGTGCAGTTGGGTGAATAGGGTTGAGAATGTACAAGACCTGAGTTTGGGGAGAAAGATGATGAGTTTAATTTTGGGTCATTTTAAAGTCGAGGTACCTGGGGGATATCTATTGAATATACGCTGTAGGCCATTGGATCACTGGGAGATCGGCACTGCAGATACTGATGGTAGCAGTTTTAGGATTAAAGGTAAATGCAGCCTTAGAACAGTTGTCTGTAATATGAAAAGGCCTAAGAAGAGAACCCTGCAGAACACCCATGTTTGAGGTCCAGGGCAGATTAGAGGAAGAGGAGTTTGCAAGGGAAACATCAAATGCTTATGAAGACCATGGAAATGAGGTATGGTGGGGGCTAAGGTAAAAGTTGTTTCCAAAAGGACAGTAATCAATAGCATCAAATGCTACAGAAAAGTAAGATAAAGATTGTTAAACCTCCATAGCATTTCACCTCATTGGAGGTGGTTAGTGGCCTTGATGAAGAACAGATTCAGCAGATTTCAGTGGCCTTTTGAGTATGGGAGCCAAAGTACAGTCACGGAGAAGTAAATCGGAAACAAAGATAGCTTTTTGATGAACCTTATCTGTGACAAGGAAGGAGAAAGAGGGCAATAATAGCAGAGAGAGGTATAAGGTGGAGGAGAAAGGCACTTTGTGGTTTAAGATGGGAGAAACTCAAGGAAGTTAAATGCTGATGGAAACATCACACTAGAAATAGAAAGGAAGAAAGAAATCTAGTATTTGGGAGAGGAAGAAGATCTCTTTAATGGATCAAGCCTCCTGGGATGGCAGAAAACTCAGCCCACTTGTGTAGGAGAGCCTTAAGAGGAGAGGTGCCTCTTCCACTGTGTGGAAGTTGAGGGCAGCTAGCTTTAACATCCATGGTGGCAGGAAGTTCTGTGACTCACTTCTGGTGGCTTTCTTGGAAAAAAGAGATGAAGTTGTCCACTGAGAGTGAATGGCATCGGAGGCCTGAGAAGATTTGAAATAAACATTGTTGAGAATGTCTGAAAACACAGAAATACTACAAGTGTTGAGGGCCAGGTTGAAGTTGGGAGTCCATGAATTTCTAGTGAAACCTATCTGCTTGGTTTTGTGATTCCCCCCTCCCCCCTTTGAGTGTTCAGCAGCCTAATGTAGGCAAGTAAAAGATAGGTGGTTGGATTGAGCCCTGGTTAAGGTTTTGGTAAATGTGTATAATGGAAAGACAGTGAGTCTAGGGAATTGGAGCTTGATACCTGGTGAATGGTGTGCAGGCTGAACTCAGGAAAAGGAAGAGGTGAAAACATGTTGCTGATGGGGAGAAAGTTGAGGGGTTGCAGCAAAGGGTCCCTCAGATAGTTTGAGGAGCGGATTGAAGATTGTGATTAGAATGGGCTATTTGCATTGAACATTTCAGAGGAAGCATAATTGGGTTATAGTGAAGTGTGGCATGTTGCCATTGAAGTAGGCAGCCAAGGTGGCATGGAGTGAATGTGGCTGAGATGTGGCCTCGTTAAGTGCCTCTGCACCTACACTAGCACCTGAGTTACCAGTCACTTTGCCTCTCTGGGCTTTTTAGTTTTTTTGGTATTTTACTTTACTTTTTTTAATTTTTATTTTTTTAAAGATTTTATTTATTAGAGAATGAGAGACAGAGAGATGAGAGGGGGGGAGGGTCAGAGGGAGAAGCAGACTCCCTGCTGAGCAGGGAGCCCGACGCAGGACTCGATCCCGGGACTCCAGGATCATGACCTGAGCCGAAGGCAGTCGCTTAACCAACTGAGCCACCCAGGCACCCACTTTTTTTTTTTTAAGTTTATTTATTTAAACAATCTTTGCACCCAACATGGAGCTCAAACTCAAAACCCCTAGATCAAGAGTCACACGTTCCTCCAATTGAGTCAGCCAGGTGCCCCAGTATTTTATTTTTAAAAGAGGTCTAATTATTACGGGATTATATACTTCAAATCCACTTGAATGATTAATGAAGTCTGTAGAAGATCACATATCTTCAAACATCTCTTTTTTTTGTGTGTGTTTTTTTTAAGATTTTATTTGACAGAGAGACACAGCGAGAGAGGGAACACAAGCAGGGAGAGTGGGAAAGGGAGAAGCAGGCTTCCCGCGGAGCAGGGAGCCCAATGTGGGGCTCGGTCCCAGGAACCTGGGATCATGACCTGAGCTGAAGGCAGATGCTTAACGACTGAGCCAGCCAGGCGCCCCCAAACATCTCTTTGTTTTAACTTTGCAGATTAAATGCATTGCCGCACAACTTACTGATAGTTTGTAATATTTGCACAGAAAGAGTTAAATGCTGTAGCTAATATTTTTTAAAAGAAAGCAAGGGGGAGAAAGTCCACCAAATTCATGATAGGAGTTGCTTCTGGAGAGAAGACCTCCCATTTATCTAAAATGTTCTGTTTCTTTTAATATACTTCAGTTTTAAAATTTATCCTTTTTATTTGGTGGATATATAGAGGTTTATTATCTTGTTTCTTATACTCTCTGTGCAGAGAAATTTGCTCGAGTGCAAAGAGCAAGGCGACCACAGGCCCTGCTAACAGTTTACAAGCCTACTTGATGGTCCTGAGACGTACTGAGGGTGACAATTGGAATACCCTTTAAAGAGCTTGACATGTACATTATCTTTTTGTCCTTATAGCATTCCAGTGAGGTAGAGTTTAAGGTCGGGAAGTTTGGGGAGAGATGTTAAATAAATTGGCAATAATTATGAAGTGACAGAGAAAGATGTGGAACCTAAATCAGAATGCAGAGCTCCACTCCACTATATTACACCGGGTACTACTTGTTTAAGACAGCCATTATCCCACCATCTAACTGAGTATATGTTCAGTCCATCTAAAGCTACTAGCTAATGCTTAATCGAGTCGATTACATGGATTTTGTAGCCCATAAATCTATGTGTTGCTGAAAACTTGACAGTAAAGTTCTGAATATCAGTTATTTTCATGCTGACTTCCCCAGTATGTAAGTGTACATTACCTTCTGTAGTAGATGTGCTCCTAAAATATCGCGCATAAAGTTAACTTATGAATTGAGTCATATCTATGAAGGAATTACGGTTTTAAAGAAACCATTTTTGTGCAGATGCTCACTCTCTGAATTGAAGTATTTTTAAGTGTGAATATTTAAGTGCTCCAGCACTCTGGAATTTTGGAAAGAGGCATATGTGTAGGAGCATCCAGTTGGATCAGGAAAGCCTGTGTTTTCCCTCCTCTCCCCTCCCCTTGTGCCATTAGGCATCTTCCTTCCATGGAGGCATAGGAGGGCCCTGAGGAGACTCCCATATAGGACCCCAGCTCAAACTAGGAATCCCACACGCACAACACCTTTTCTTTTTTTAAAGGCATCATAAAAGTCATTTATTCTTGGGACACCTGGTTGGTAGAGTATGGGGTCATGAGTTCCAGCCCCATGTTGGGTAGAGAGACTACTTAATGTGTTTTGATGACTTTTTTTTTTTAAGTTAGAATTGAATTACAGAAAGATGCTTTAATACCCCTATACATTTAGAAACGTAAAAACCCCAAATAATTTAAGGTTCAAGGAACTGAATGATATTAAAACAATATCGGGGCACCTGGGCGGCTCAGTCGGTTGAGCATCCAACTCTTGGTTTCAGCTTGGGTCATGATCTCAGGGTTGTGGTGTCGGGCTCTCTCTCTCTCAAATAAACAAATCTTAAAAAACAATGTGGGATGGTGTTTTGGGGTAATATCCTTATTAATAGTACCCTTCCTTCTCTTTTCAGTCAAGTTTTATGAAGGCCACAAACTGTATTAGATGTGACTCTTTGCTCCGCTTCAAAGTTATTGGGCAGAAAAACTTCTTCCCAATTAATAGATTCCAAAACAGCAAAATTCAGCACGTTAAGATACCATAAAATGAGGGCTGCCTGTATTGGCTTGGGATTTCTTAAAAGTAAATTTCACCATTTTAATACTTTCTTTATTATAGGATGTGAAGTTACCCCAGATGTAAACATTTCAGGGCAAAAATTTAACATTAAACTCCTGATTCCAGTTGCAGAAGGCATGAATGAAATCTGGCTTCGTTGTGACAATGTAAGTTTTCCAATTAAAAATAAAAACCTCAATTTTTCTTTGATTCCTTAGTGTGAGTAGACCAGTCATCCTTATGTTTTATACTCAAAGGACCCATCGTGTGATACATTTCATATTTTAGTATTTCTTTTCAACAGGAAAAGCAATATGCACACTGGATGGCAGCCTGCAGATTAGCCTCCAAAGGCAAGACCATGGCAGACAGTTCATATAACTTAGAAGTTCAAAATATTCTTTCCTTTCTGAAGATGCAGCATTTAAACCCAGATCCTCAGTTAATACCAGAGCAGATCACAACTGATATAAATCCTGAATGTTTGGTGTCCCCTCGCTATCTAAAAAAGTACAAGAACAAGCAGGTATTTGATTCATTTTACTTCATCTATTTTCTTCTGGTTTTATGATTTTATGTACATACTTTAAATTTAGTTTCCCTGCTTAAACAAAACTTTTAATCTTAATTTCACATCCGGTGGCCAGAGTATAAAATAGGCTGCAGATATCAGTTGGTCATTTAAAAAAAAGTTTCTCATTTTAATAGCACAGATAAGGAGGTAAGATAGTTGGAAGCATATTTACTCGCAACAACCTAAGGAAACCACCCTGTGAATGGGGTGTTCTTTCAGGGAATTGAATATGGTGTGGATGCTCTTGGTTTTATTCCTTATATAATGAAGTGTGGGTATAAAGCACAGCCAGCATTTCCCAACAAAATCTGTAACAACTCCTCTTGCTGTCGAAATTGACTTTTCCAGCTTTGGAAATAAACTTTGTAAGGGTGGAAATAGTCTATAGTTCAACATTGTCTTTTCTTAACAGTAAAGAACCTAAACCAAGATTTATATGATGTGACAGAGTTTGGTAAATTTTCATTGAAATTCACTGCTTTTGTTAACTCTGTTTAGAATTCCTTTCCTGGAAATTAATACCATAAAAGGATTGCTATTTAGGAAAATGGTTCTTCGGTACAACATAAAAGGTTCTTTGCAGGGGAATTTCACTTGGGATAGCCCCCAGTATTTGCTACACCAAACATCATGCCATAAAAGGCAAAGGCTTCAGTCTGAGGTGGGGGGTGAAGAAGACCTTTCAAATAAATATTTCATTTCTATGTAGTTTCATTTTTATCTCTGTTAAAGAATAATTTTAAAACATTACTGAAAAGGCCCAATGAAATACCCAGAATGCTTATTAATTCTTAACTTTAAATATAATGTTTATCATATGGGTCTGAAATCACTTAGCTAAAAATAGATATTCATAAGTTTTAATCACCAAGTATTTGTTTTTAAGTTTCAGAGGTTGTGTAAGCTACATGGAAATTGTTTATCCCACAGTCGTATGATGTGGGAGTAGTGAGGAATGGAGGAAATGCTGCCCTGGGGAGCTTTGTGGAATGTAGATTGTAAGTTAAAAAGGGAAAGTGAATCAAGTACTAATTTCATTTTTTTAATTCTTAAATATTTCATTTGAAAATTACTTGTTAAAAAAAACTTGTTTCTGAAAGTGGATTCATTTGCCTTCAAAAGGCGAGGAAGAATTTCAAATCTTAGCAAGCTTATCATTTCACTATCAGGTATCAGGAAAAAGAGATCTTAAAATGTAACTGTGAAGACTGCCAAATGTTGGTTTAGTTTTCAGAGGTACTGAGTTGTTTTCTCAGAAGCCTTTCAAATGATAGTTTTCATTTTTAAAAAAAGATCGTTTTCTATCCCTGATTTCTCAGCTAGATTGTCAAGTGAAAATTCTCTTGTGGACAAAACCAGTGAATATTTGACTGTCTTTAACTGGCAGGATGCCAGTATATGTGTGGTCCATGGTTAAGGATTCTTCCAGCCTTGTCTTCCATGTTGGCATCTTATCAAATGCATAATCTTTCCTAATTCTCCCTTCTCTGACTAGATTTATAAGTTGTTCCCAGAAAGTAGAGACCTAGGAAGGGCTGACAGGCAGAAGTCTAGTTGCTATTGTATGTCAGGTGTTTAGTCATTGTTAAGCTAATACAGTGGCATTCAGGAGTTCAGTAGGAAGAGATGCGGGCCATGGGCTCTTTCATTCCTACCAGGGCCCATCAATAGAGATTCTGTTATATTTAATCTACTTTAAATCCCCAAAACTACATATTATTTAAATTTGCTATATATATCTTAATGTATTTTTACATTTTAAAGAAGAAAGTTGTTCTCTGTTTTACCGTCAATACAAATCGAAATAGACTAATATGTGTACATCCTCCATTCCTAGTGTAGTGTATAGCAACTCTTCATTTTCCCTTCTAGGAAAAAGGATGCAAAAAACAGATGGTAACTGAGGGGTTTGCTTTTCTTTTGTAAATAGAGAAACAGTATGGTCACTGCACTTACTTTATACCTTCAGCTTATTTCTGAAAAGCGGTGCATGGGTCATATTATCGGACTCAATCTCAAAACATTAAAGGTTTTTGAATATTAATTTTGATTTTGCTACTAAAATCATTAGTCCTACCCTAACCAGTAAGAACTGGTAAATGAGCAGGGAAAAGGGTATTTGCTCTTTATTTTTCCCTACAAATTTTCTACCCATAATTTTAGTAACACTTAACAATCTAAAATAATGTGGAAGTGTTTCTCAGTATCCTAAATGGAAAGTAATCGCTGCTTCCTTGTTTTCATTTTCATGCTTGCATTTACTTTGCTTGGTTTCCACCTAAAGTAATTTTTTTTGCATGGTTTTTGGCTGGAATTTTGGTTTGCAGGTTACCGCAACTTTTTCTTTGCTTCATTGCCATTTTTCTGATTGCCTTTTTTTTTCTTTCTGCTTTCTTTTTCTTTCTTCGCATTGCCATCTACAGCCAGGCTATATAAGAGATTTGGTAAGTTCTCCGTATTTACCAAAAAAAAAAAAAAAAAAAAAGAAAAATACATAAAATATTGAAAGCCCTAGCTACAATCCCCTCTTACGGATAAATTTCCTTCCACTCTTTGTGGGAGTAATCATCCCAAAGGGAGTATAATTTAAATTAAAAGTTAACTTTTCTAATGATTCCTTTAGAAAAAAATTTTAAATTATTATGGTGGTTTCAAGTACTTTAAAGGTGCTAATATTCCTGCTAGAAATTTATATTCCAGGTACTCACTCTGATAATTGTGTCTTGGTGCTAAATTTAAAACTCATATCATGTAAAGGATTAGAACATGCCCTTTTATAAAAGCAGCGACATATGTGCGTATACTTGGAATGTATCTCCAGCGTGGCAGTTATGTACTCCTAATTGTGCTTCTTATTTCTGGATATATGGGAACTGACATTAATGAAGAAATATATCAAGGTTTATTTTGAAGACTCATCATTTTACTAAAATTCCCAAATGTAGCTGTAGAAATGTCCTAATTCCAACTCTTACAATACGTGATTGTGGGGTGGGGCACATAATTCAATTTTTTACTTTTTGTCTTGATCCTCCCATAAAAGAATATTGTCTGATGGTAAAGGTGGTGTTTAATCATGTTTAGATAACAGCAAGAATCTTGGAGGCCCATCAGAATGTAGCTCAGATGAGTCTAATTGAAGCCAAGATGAGGTTTATTCAAGCTTGGCAGTCGTTACCAGAATTTGGCATCACACACTTTATTGCAAGGTCAGTGGTTCTCCTAAACACTTGTGTATAAATCTTAATCTGTTCCTTTGTACTTAATCTACTTCAATTAAACATTTAAAGTACCTACTGAGATCTACTGAGCAATTTTACAGTAAAATGTAAAGAATATTGAAACCTATTTTCTGTACTTGTAATTTTTACGTTAAAAATTCAAAATGATTTCTATTTTTACTTATGTGAAAGTATCATTTTTTTTTTTTTTTAGAGTTAAAGTGCACATCTTAAAAGAAAACCAGAGCAGCATGTCCTTCCACTCCCACCAACATGTTTTTAAACATTTTGTATGTTTTTAATACTATAGGTTCCAGGGAGGAAAAAAAGAAGAACTTATTGGGATCGCATACAACAGACTGATTAGGATGGATGCCAGCACAGGAGACGCAATTAAAACATGGCGTTTCAGTAACATGAAACAATGGAACGTAAACTGGGAAATAAAAATGGTAAGCTCAGTGTTAACTTGAGTGCGTGTAGAGCCCTTCTGCTAAGAATTAGTGAATTAAGAATAAAAAGGCCGATAAATTCTGTAGATTATTTGTATCATCACCTCTTAAAGTATAAAACCTGGGTGGTTATTCATCTCCCACTTAAACTTGTCCACTTCATAACTAGCCCAGTTATTAGAATTCTAAGAACATAAGGATCTGCTTAGAAGCTGGTTTTCTGGAAATGGTACATCCCTGTCAGTCACGGTAGCAGCTACTGTTTATTGAGGGCCTTCCCTGCGCCAGTGCTGATGCTAGATGTTGCTACATTCATACCCTATTCCTCAGCTCACCACAGCCTGCTGGGGTGGTTGGATTGGCCCTACTTTACAAAGGAGGACACTCAGAGGCCTGACAGCCATGATCGCCATGACCACACACTTGGTCACAGGGTCAGAATTCAAACTCAGATGCTCAGGGCTCTCAAACCTGGCACAGCTACTACTACAGAGCATGCTGGCCCTAGCCTTGGAGTACAAGGAATGGCATTTAAAATAAGCAATGTTTTACTGATAAGCCATGGGTTTTAGGATCATTAGGTTCGTTATATCAGTTTCTCTTACTGCATAGAATCTCATATTTCTGAAATACAGTAGTATCCCTCCTTACCTGTGGTAACCACGGTCCAGAAGCAGAGGACCCATCTTCCTTCTGACGTATTGTTAGAAGGTCCATTTAGTAGCCTAACACTACGTCACAGTGTCTGCTGTGTCCTTCACCTTCCTCCCATCACGTGGGCATTTTATCATTTCCCATTATCACAAGGGTGAGTGCAGTACAATAAGATATGTTGAGAGACCATATTCACATTACTTTGATTATAGTATAATTCTGTTTATTGTTAATCTCTTACAGTATCTAATTGATAAACTTTATCATAGGTATGTATGTAAAGGGAAAAAAGCATAGTATATATAGGGTTCAGTACTATCCACAGTTTCAGGCATCCACTGGGGGCCTAAAAATATAGTCCCCATGGATAAGGGAGGGCTACTGTATTCACACATGATACCTAAAGGTTAAATATCTAGAGCAAATATTAAATACAGGAAGTAGGTTTTCTCCCAGGCCTTGAAGAGAGACCTCATTAATTGAATCACCAGAGACCATTGGGAACATAATGACCTAAACCCCGTGCATTCAGTCTTTCCAGAACATGAAAACTAAAAAGGAGTGGTGGAGGGGCTAATAAACTTCATTCTTTTGGAATTGAAGGCATTATTAAGTTTAGGATTTAAAAAAAAAAATTGAGGATCAACAAGTACTTTGTGAGAGGGCAGACTTTAAATAGAACACTAGCTTCGCTTGTACCCAACCATACGGAGTTTTCCTGGGACTGACAGTTCTTGGTCTTTGTTCCAGGTCACGGTAGAGTTTGCAGATGAAGTACGATTGTCCTTCATTTGTACTGAAGTAGATTGCAAAGTGGTTCATGAATTCATCGGTGGCTACATATTTCTCTCAACACGTGCAAAAGACCAAAATGAGAGTTTAGATGAAGAGATGTTCTACAAACTTACCAGTGGTTGGGTGTGAATAGAGATACTGTGTAATGAAATTCCATGGCCATAACAATATTTAACTTTGAAAGCTGTTGTTTGTTATATGCTGCTTAATAAAGTAAGCTTGAAATTTATCATTTTATCATGAAAACTTTTTTGCCTTACCAGACCAGTTAATAAGTGCACTAACAAGCACGACTATTAATCTGCTATCATGATACAATATATGGACTTGAATATGGCACACATTCCTTAGGGCCATGAATTGAAAACTAAAGTAGTGGGCAAGTCAGGAGCAAAAAAATCACTGATTTAATTTAAGCTAGCCAAACCAAGAAACACAAGCCATCTACTTTAAAGCGATCCAGGGCTTAAACTATATGAAGTCTATTTATCATGTTTAATGCATGTGTTTTAATGTATGTTTAATTTGATCTTGTGTTTTAAAAATACCTACTTCTGATAGCCATTGATTCTCCATCCCCCGACTCCCACCCCCAAATAAATCAGGCCTGCAAAAGATGCCTGATATTGACCTTGAAGGAAAATGCTATCAGTCCGTTAGGCTTGGTTTGTTTTTGTCCTTGAATAAGCATGTATGTATATTGTCTTGTGTTTTTATTTTTACACCCTGTTGTATTACAACACTTTTAGTATTCACCAGCATATTCACTGTCTGCCTAAAATATGCAACTTTTGCATTACAATATGAAGTAAAGGTCTATGAAGTATGCATTTTGTGTAACTAATGTACAAACACAAATTTTATAAAATTGTACAGTTTTTTTAAAAAACTACTCACAACTAGCAAATGGCTTAGATGTAGCATCTTTGCCTTAATTAAATGCTTTTAAAAATATAATTAATGTGGTTTTCATACCTGCTAAATTAAGAATGCATTATAGTCATGATTTGCCACAATGTCCTTAACTCTAATGCCTGGACTGGCCATGTTCTCGTCCACTGCGCTGTTACAGTCCGCGTTGGTGCTAGTCAGAAAATTCCTAGCTCACACAACCCAAAAGGGTGCCGGGAGGGGTGGATTACCAGTATTGTCCAATAATCCATGGTTTAAAGACTGTATAAATGCATTTTATTTTAAATAAAAGCAAAATCTTTTATTTATGTTTCTTTTTGTACTTCTTGTCTTTACTGTTTACATACTAATTATCTGATGAACTTTTGCCTACACCTTGCGTTATGAGGACAGCTTGCTGGTATTCCAGAGTATCACCAGGTAGTGATACTTAATCTCTAGAATATAGATTCTTCCACCCCCCGTCACTTTTTCTGCTACTTAAAAATGAACTGCATAATATTTAAATATTAGAAATATAAACAGAAATATGACAGTTGAACAGACATTGTTGACGGGCCAAATTTGTTTGAACTGCAAACTGACTCCTGGTCTAAAAAACCACAACTCACATGTATGAATTTACTCCCTGTTGTCAGTGCTATTACATCCTCATTCCACCGCAAAACATCAGTCCTGGACTTTCTCCTTTAGCTCTGGCATTTAATCAGGCCAAGTCTTGCTCATTTTTCCCTCAGGCAAACTTTTGTCATTGTTATCACTGACACCTGAATTCAGGTCCTTGTCCTGTGCCTGCCACAATGCCACAGCCTCTAAAAAGCAAAGCTCGGATCACATTCTCCATGGCTTTTCTTTGTACTCTAAGGTCAGGTCCTAACAAACCTCACTTTAAAATATAAGGGCTCCTTCCACTAAAAAAAAAAAAAAAAAAGAAAAATTTAAATAATATATTCCCTTTTCTCACCTTAAATACAGGTCACCAACTTGTATAGTCACTCAGTAAAAGCCCTAACACATATATATATATATATTTACTTATTTGAGAGTGTGCATGAGTGGGGTAAGGGCAGAGGGAGAAGGAGAGGGCAAAGCAGACTCCCCGCTGAGCAGGGAGCCTGACTTGGGGCTCCATCCCAGGACCCTGAGATCATGACCTGAGCTGAAGGCAGATGCTTAACCAATTGAACCACCCAGGAGCCCAGCCCTGAAATATATTTAGACGAAAGCATACCTGAGTCCCATAGAGTCTCATAGCCACTCTGCTGATTTCTTGGGAGTTTGGCCCCACTTTCCATCCTAGCGATTTCAACATTAATTCAGCCCCAGCACAGCCCTGGCTGTATGTCAGCTCTGATGACCCTGGTTGACTACAGCATAAGAGCCAAAGTCCCCAGGCAGGAGCTAAGAGGTCTTCTGTGGTCAGGATCCCAGCCTGCATTCTCCTCCTTATCTCCCAAACTGGGCGACCCACATTCTCCAGGCACAGTTTGCACTCGCCCGCCACCATGTCATTCCGCAGACTTACTTCCAGTCTCCTACCTGTCCCAAATCCCACCTTTCTGGCGTTCTAGAAATTTTAAAAGAGCTCAAGTGTTCTTTCTTCCATGAATACTTCCAAGTTTCCTCACAGCCCCAAATTTTCTTACTCCTGTAAACAGCTACTGAATTTGGTCCTTTTTGGAACTTAAGAGCAATCATCCTTATGATTATTGCCTATAATAATTTATTACTGCCTCGAGGACTAGGTCTGAGCCTCATGGTTTCTACCTAGGATCAGTTAACACATTTGTTCATTGAATATGGCTATTTTAGAAATCAAGGAATTATTACAACTTAGAATTTTTACAACCTCAGCATAGTTTAATATGGAGGAAACACACATGGTTTTTGCACACCAGCTCATGCATTAAGAGGCATGCTGAGTGTTCATGTACATGATCTCTTCTAAAGATTCACACACTCCATCTTCATTTTCTAGACTCACAGAGGTCAAGTGACCTGTTCAAAGTAACAAAGCTATAATTAATTAGTGCCAAGGTAGAGCTAGAAGTAGAACCAAAATTCCCTCTCCCTACCCAATAGTGTTAAAAAACCCTTCACGAATCTTGAGGAACCCCATTGGTAGTGGTCTACAGAGACAACATGGCCAGAGCCTCCAGAGACAGTTTCAGGTTTCTGCTTTGTGACTCAGTTTCATGTGAACATGAAGGCACTGGGAACAGGAGGCCAACCAGGTTCTCTTCCAACTCTATTTCTCTTAAATCAGCAAGTTAGAGACCTGCTGATGATGTAGTTAATCAGTAATTTCAACTTGATACAAATTACTTTTTACCACAACCTTGAACTTCAAAGGGCAGGGACCTAGATACATGAACTTATTTTCTTTTTCAGCTTTACCAAGGTATACCTGACAAAATTGTAAGATATTTAAAGTATAGGATGCCTGGGGTGGCACAGTTGGTTAAACATCCGACTCTCGGTTTCTGCTCAGGTCGTGATCTTAGGGTCGTGAGATCCAGCCCTGTGGTGGGCTCCACACTCAGCGCGGAGTCTGCCTGAAATTCTCACTCCTCCCTTTACCCCTCCTGCTCATGCTTGCTCACACTCAAATAATCTTAAAAAGAATTAAAGTGTACATCGTGGTGATTTATGTATATATTCTGAAAGGATTTCTGCCATCTAGTTAACATATCCATCCCCTAGAGACACAAACTTTGTAGAAGAAAAGCCGCTTGCAGTTCTTGACCCTCTGCTCTTACACAAGTCAAAAAACAACAGTGTGGCAGATTATACTCTTTGCATTCTGTATACCATAGTTTTTGTTCCTTTTTTATGTTAAAAGTCTTTGCAAATCAAAACCACAATGAGGTATCATCTCACACCTGTCAGAATGGTTAGGCTCAAGATGACAAACGGACGCCTGGGTGGCTCAGTCGGTTAAGCGTCTGCCTCAGGTCATGATCCTGGAGTCCCGGGATGGAACCCCGCATCGGGTTCCTTGCTTCTCCCTCTCCCTCTGCCTACTGCTCTGCCTACTTGTGCATGTGCACTCTCTCTGTCAAATAAAATCTTAGAAAAAAAAGACGTGTTGGTGAGGATCTGGAGAAAAACGAATCCTCTCATGCACTGTTGGTGGGAAAGCAAACTGGAAGGTCCTCAAAAATTTAATAATAGAAATCCCGTAGGATCCAGTAAATCCACTACTGGGTATTTACCCAAAGAAAATAACACGGGGCGCCTGGGTGGCTCAGTCGTTAAAGCGTCTGCCTTCGGCTCAGGTCACGATCCCAGGGTCCTGGGATCAAGCCCTGCATCAGGCTCCCTGTTTGGCAGGAAGCCTGCTTCTCCCTTTCCCACTCCCCCTGCTTGTGTTCCCTCTCTCTCGCTGTGTCTCTGTCAAATAAGTAAATAAAATCTTAAAAGAAAAACACTAATTCTAAAAGATATATGCACCCTATGTTTACTGCAGCATCATTTACAACAGCCAAGATACGGAAGCAACCAGTGTCCATCGACAGATGAAGGGATAAAGAAGATGTGTGTGTGTACACACCCCCCCCACACACACACGCTGGAATATCACTGAGCCATGAAAAAGGATGACATCTTACCATTTGCAACAGCATGGACAGACCTAGAGGGTATTATGCTTAGTGAAGTAAATCAGACTGAGAATGACAAATACCATATGATTTCACTTCCATGTGGACTCTAAAAAACCAAAGGCAACGAATAAACAAGCAAGCAGAAACAGACCCATAAATACAGAGAACCAACCAATTGTTGCCAGAAGGGAGGGGGGTGGAGGGATGGGCATAATGGAGGAAGGGGCGTGGGAGGCACAGGCTTCCCGTTACGGGATGAATCACGGGGATAAAGGGTGCCGCATAGGGAATACAGTCACCGGTACTTAGTAGCGGTGTATGGTGACCGATGGCAGCCACACCGGTGGTGAGCATGGCACGATGTAGAGACTTGCCAAAGCACTATGTTGTACACCTGAAACTAACGTTGTGGGTCAAATATACTTCAGCAAAAAAAGTCTCACGAAGGTGTTTTAATTAGTTACTAGTTAGTGATGTAGTGGGATCAGACCAACCTGGGTTTCTGACCTTAATTTATCTGGAAAAAGTACCACACAGAGTTAAAGAAATGTTTAAAGTACCCAACACTCACCTACATTGCATATAGTAGTTTCTCAGTGAAATGTGAGTTTTTTTTTTTTAACACAAAACTTCTTTTGGATCCTCTAAGACACATTCCTATCCTATTCCTTTCATAACTGTTTCTATCCCTATAATTAAGTTTGACAAGGTC